GACGAGCTTCCCTCCCGCGGGGCGGGTGGCCCCGGTGTCCTTCCCGCTGTCCCCCGGCTCCGCTCGGCAGCCAGGCTGGCTGTGGGCAGAGCCGCCTCCCGGAGGGGGCGGCCGGGGGGCTGTCAAGCCTCCCGGCTGGGCGGGAGCGAGCGCGGCCTTCCGATGCCCCGTCCCTGCCTGACAGCCAAGGGGCTCAGCTGGGAGGCTTAGTTTTTAAGATGGCTGTGTGAAATCCTGGGGGGAAGGTTGATTGTTGTTGGCAGCCAAAGGTGGTGCTGGGAGAGGATGGAGCGTTAAGAGCTTCGGTAACAGAACCCGAGGTTCAGCAGTTCCTTGCCTCAATGTTTTGTGGCTGCATCTGTGGCTTAGGCATCCCTTCCTGAGGGAAGCGGCAGAGAAGGCCTGTATGGAAAATTAATGCAATCAAGTGTAATTTGAATCTGCCTGGGTCCCTAGATGGATACCAGGAGGCTGGAGTTGGACTGTTGCCCCCACAATGGTTTCTTCATAGCTGTTTTGTCCACGCCTCTATGGGTTCCTAGCTGAGGGAACTGAAGATTAATGTTCAGCAAATGTATCTTGTTAGCTGCAACCAGATCTTAGTATTTGATGTGGAGTTAATGTGGTAAAAACCCCAATATTTTTACAGCTTCTACTTGTGAAAAGACATATCAGTGGTGACACAAGTGCAGGGTAGTTGCTGATGTAGATAGTTGCTTCATTTGAAAGATTTCACATTAAGCACTGAAGGTCAGTTTGTGCTGCTGCTGCCTTGTGACTTGCTTGGTGGTAGCTCAGGTTGTGGGTCTGGACTAACCAGCTGGTTCAGCTGGAAGACGCTGTCGTGGTTTTTTATTGCTACTGGCTAGTGCAGAATCCCTCTGATGACATACAGCTGGAAAGTTCCAGAGCTCACTTCTGAGTTCCCTCATTGTCTTCTTACGAAAGTACTTGCACGGGTCATAAAAAGGGCTCCAAAACAGCTAGTCAAAGCTTAATTTTCTAAGGTGATGGTTTGTAGTGTTGCTTTGGGTTTAAACACAGTCTTCTGTACCTCTAATCCCTTTATTTTCATCTTCCCATTGAAAAAGAAAAGGAGCTCTCAGTAAATCATGTCGTGGATCAGAGAGGGCGAGCTGACCATCATAGAGCGATTTTGTGCCAACATCATTAAGGTAAGGAATGAATTTGGTTACCTGTAGTAAAAAAATTGGCAGGTTCATCAGGGTTCAGAGTGGAACTGTCTCTGTGACTGCTCTGCTCTAGAAAGATAGTGTTGCTAGCAAGGGCACATATTAATGCTGGCACTGGGTGTACATCCCTAAACAGCATCTGGGGGTGGAAAATTACTTAAGCTTAGTCTTGCAAATGAGCAAGGCTGTAGGCAGTGCTTGCCAATAATGAGCTTATGCTCCCAGGCTTCCATGTTTTGTGCCCTTGCTGATGAAGGCAGAGCATGGGAGGGAGGGAGGGAGAGAAGCAAGATGGTGGGATTAGGAGTCTGAGAAATGAAACTGAGTTTCTCTTGATTAGAATAATAACTCACCAGTTCCAGGAAAATTTTAGCCTTGCTCAGCAGAGTCTTGAGACTGGTGATGCTGTCCTCACACAAGGATCTGTGAGGTCAGTGGAAAGGAATACTCCCCTTTAGTGGGGGAAAATCTCCTGACTTTTTGTTGTCTCTTAAGTTGTGTCTGTGAAGATGCCCTTAAACTCTGAAATAAAAAAATACACAGCAGCATAAAACTGTGTGCACCCTTCTCCATGGCTTCAGGGAGGTAGCTGTGGCAGTGCTGCTTTCTGTCCCTAGTTCTCTGTCATATGATAGAATTGGGGAGGGAAAATTGCTTTTCAGTTTAGGCAATTGTCAGTACTGACGTGTTTTTTAGCCTAAACTGTGCTTAACAAGGAAGTAATTAACATCTTACTCTTTCTAGTTCCATCTTGGAGCTGGGAGATACACACTGCATCCCACAAATAGGTGCTGCCGGGAGCAGCGCGACTGAACTCTCTGCGCTGCAAGACGCCAGCTTGGCTGTTCCCTTTCTGGTCTGTTGTGTTTCTCCTTATTTTCTAGGCAGGTCCGATGCCCAAGCATGTTGCCTTCATCATGGATGGCAATCGCCGTTACGCCCAGAAGTGTCACGTGGAGAGGCAGCAGGGGCATTCGCAAGGCTTTGATAAGCTGGCACAGGTAGGGGGGGTGTTTGCTGCCTTCAAGTTGTGCGTTTGAAGTTTGAGCCACGTTCACCAGATAACTCGTCTGCTGCTTGACTGGTGCATTGTGATCCTTCTCCTCACTGGGGTCAGGACTGTGCTTGGAGCTGACATTTGTCATCAGGGTTCCCAACTTCAGCTCCTCTCTCTCTCTCTCTTCCTCTTACCTTGCAGAGTCATTCTATTTTTTTCCCCCTTAGTTTCACACTCAATTAAAATATGTGCCTTGCAGATCTCAAAGCTTTTAATTCTGTGAAACAGGTTGAATTTCCTTGAAAAGATTTTGAAAGGTACAGTATTATATAATGTTCTCTACAAGAAGTGCTGGATCAGACCCATATCTCTTAGGGATTCTCACGCTTAGGTAGTAATATTTTCCTCCTGTTCTTTAAAACTAATCCAAAGTGCTCATTGACTGGGTTTCATTGTCAGATCTTAATGGTTGTTTCTTTTGATCCAATCTTTGTGTGGTGGGAAACGACAGGAAGGTTTTAGCAGTGGAGAAGCTGCGTCTTGCTGACTTGTCTGATTGTCTGAGGCTGCTTATCTGACTTTTGATTTCCGTTATGTTCTGTCTTCTTGCAGACACTACGGTGGTGCTTAAATCTGGGCATTCGGGAGGTCACTGTTTATGCCTTCAGTATTGAGAACTTTAAACGCTCCAAGGAGGAGGTGGATGGACTAATGGATCTGGCAAGACAGAAATTCAGCCGCCTACTGGAAGAACAGTAAGAATCCTGTCATGTCTGTATCTCACAGGGTGGAACTAAACCAAACCAAACCACGACTAAGAGGTGTTACAGAGATGTTGGGAGTTGTGAAAGTGGATTAAATGAAGGGAGGTGTTCTCCATTTCCAGCTAGAGATTTGTGTTGAGGGGCTCTGCCTACCTGGATGGCATGTACAGCCCCTGAGCACACCCAGTCCCTCCACGCACCAGATTTGTGTCTGTACCATCTGACTTAGTGTGCAGCAGTCCCCCCCAAGCGCCGGGGCAGTGCAGCTTTCTGGTGAGCACAGCACGATTACAAATTCCTGCTTAGCCCTAGAGTGCTAGGTGCCTTATTTTGATGAAGTATCAAAGCTTTGTCTGAAATTCTGTCCCTGTATTCTTGGCAGATCAGAGTTTAGCTCGGCAGCTTGCTTTGTGCTAACTTGAGACTTCTACATATGGGCACGTGGTGTGTTGAGTCACATGTTGGAGTTGGAGAACTAGTTCATGTGTGGTGTGTAGATGAAACCGGTGCAGGTCTGAGTGAACTGGGAGGGGTGTTACAGTGCCCTGTTGTTCAGTGGATGTGTTTCTCTCCCCACACCTGAGTGGTGTGAAGAGTGGTGCATAGAAGGGCTCCTTATCTCGTTGAAGTCGATTTGAAAGGCAGTGAGGGAATGTGGCTGAAAGAATGGGAAGGAGAGGATAGTGTGTGTGGACTGAAGTTGGGAAGATCAGGGCTATCCAATCACTGTGATTCAGAGAGACCTTTTCCCTGGTTTCTACCTGATGCAGCCCTTCCTCGGGGAGTTTGTAGCACCAGACAGGCAGCAGCAGGAACCTGTAAGATCCCATGGGATGTCCTGTCCGCTCAGAATAATGCCAGAGCGGGCATGGATGATCTCCTGTCTTGGCTGACATCCACCACCCCCATCCCACCCTCACTGCTACCCTAATCTTTCCTCACACCAGGAAGTAGTTGTGCTACTCTATGGGTGACCGTTAGTCATCTTCATTTTTGATTCGTTATAGCCCAGAGTCTGTGGCTGTATTAAGTTTTCTGTATGGATTTTCATAACTTCAGGTAGGAATGCCTAATCTGTGATCATTTTCTAGTCCTTTGGTTATGTCTGTACCTCAGGAACTTCTATGGGGAATGATCATTTTTCCTTTGTGGAACGGTTTGGGATGGTCAAATCCAAGCCAGCTTTCAACACCTGAAAACACTTGGTCATGTTGCCTTTTTCTAATTCTCCATTTTGCTGAGTTTTGCCTGCAACGTGCCTGTTGTTTTCATTTGGATGTTACGCAAGGCAAACACAGCACTTGTGCAGTAGAGACTGATCTGTTCTCTGTAGTCCTCACTCTTGTTGTTGGGTGTAGGGAGAGCTTGAAGAAGCATGGTGTGTGTATCCGTGTCCTTGGGGACCTGCCGCTTCTGCCCTTGGATATTCAGGAGCTGATTGCCCAAGCTGTGCTGGCAACTAGGAACTACAACAAGTAAGTAACGCACAGTTTAATGTAGCTGCTACCTGACATCTTCCTCTTCTACCTGAAGGCTGAGACTTGGCAGACTTGCTACATCTTGTTTTTCCTTTGTCCTACAAGCTCACGGAACTGTTGTCGATATTCTCTGCCTTCTGCTGGACCTTCCTTATGTTAGTCTTACATCTTTCTCCCTTTTCAGATGCTTTCTAAACGTCTGCTTTGCGTACACGTCGAGACATGAAATCAGCAATGCTGTCAGGGAGATGGCATGGGGGGTGGAACAAGGATTGCTCGAACCCAGGTAACTTATCTTTCTGTGTGAGGTTGCATAGATGAAGACTGCCTGTCTTACCTCCTACGCTTTATTTATAACCTCTCAGAAGCCAAGTGGCTTTTAAATAGATCTCGTTAAACCAGTATGACTGGAACAAATGACTTAAAGTTACTATGCAATGTTTGGTTTTTATTATTTCAGTTGCCATGGTGATAGATACACAACCAAGACAGAAGAGAAATTAGGTCTGTGTCTTAAGTTAGTTTAAATGTGAAGGCAGATTTTATGCCACAACAATTGGCTGCTTGGCTGGCAGTCTTAGCTATGAGGTCAAACAACAGATGAATCATGAATCCTGAACTGTTCCTCCACCCTGGAGGAGATGGAGTAGTTAGCACTCTGCTCTGTGCTCCAGATGGAAGGTCTCACAGTCTGGTTCCACCACTGTATTATGTTTCAAAGAGCGTGGGGGGGGATGCTCTGGGGGCTGAAAGAGCATTTGAAATAGCCTGTGGAGCAGAGAGCAGCATCCATCAGAAGCGAGCTGGTGACTGGCTGAGGTACAGTTCCTCCACCCTGTTTTAATCTGCAGTCCTGCATTTATAAAAAACCCTCAGTAATTCTGATTTAGTGGTGCCACCTCCATCGGGTCAGGGAAGTGATCTTAATAAGATGCATCTGTCTTTCTTAGTGATGTGTCTGAATCGTTGCTTGATAAGTGTCTGTACACCAACAACTCCCCTGACCCAGACCTCCTGATTCGAACCTCTGGAGAGGTTCGGTTGAGTGATTTCTTGCTCTGGCAGGTAAAGTCTTTGTTTTTTTTCCTTGAAATATTCCTTTTTCACATCAGAGTGTTCTACTGTCTCCAGGCGTGAGCTGACATGAGGACTCTTAAACTCTCTCTGCCAGGGGTTGGGTAGCTTCTTGGATGGACTGAGTGCTGGGGCATCTCTGAGGAATCTGTTTCTTGCAGTTCTGCGATTGCCTAAAATACCTTAACAGTCTGAAATTCTGTCATCCTGAAAACACTTAATGAGAAATCACAAATTAGGCTAGCTGACAGCAGTCAAGGAAATCGTAGATTGCTCATCCTTTTGCTCCTCTTCTCACATGTAGGTGATTCCTCATTTGATTGGTAAATTCCTGGCTTTGATTAATTTAACCTGGCAATATGTTTCCTGGGATGAGGAAATCCTGGGCAGGATGGATTTCTGGATTCCTGGGAGAGGTGTTTGTCACATGTCAGCTGGAGGTTTAACCCTATAATGTACACATAACATAACACGCCTGACTTGTCACAGTTTCAGAAGTGTATTTGATAATGAAACAAGACCCTGCAAGACAAGTTCTAAGGATGGCAAAGTCAAATCAGCATGACTAAGCTGCTAAGTTAAAACATAGTAAGTTCTTAATGTGTATAAAGTTCATGTATTTGCAGTTACTTGGTTATTTGCATGTATTTGCAGAGCTGCTTCCGTTTCTCTCCTGTGATAGACAATATTGACTTGTTTATAACCCAAACTTTGCAGCAGAATGTTTATGAGTTGAGCTGCTTTACTTAAAGCTAACATTTTGTTTTACATGTACAGTTTGGAGCCAAACCCCAAACTGCCTTTAAGCAACCACATCACATGTTCCTATTCCAAGTTATTTAATTGGCAAGTTCACAGGAGCTGTCTGGCCTGAGTTGCGGCTGCCTACCAAGGCATCTCCCTCTCCTCCCTGTATTTTTGGGCACACGTATACCCTGGATGGGTGTCAATGCTGCAGACTAATATTTTGCTCGCTCCTCTTGGTGGTAGTCCTGGCAGAGATGCCTCGGAGACCCAGCTTGTAACTGATGAAGCAATAGTGAGGAAGTCAGTGCTCCGTGAGGCTGGCGTGGTGCCCCTTTCCCGTGCCACAGATCACAGCAGAAGCAGCGGAGGAGAACGTGTGCTTGTGCTCCCCCTCTGCCAGCTCACACACCAGGGCATTAGTGCAGAGTTCCTTTTGCTAGCAATCGTGTGTGTCCTGACAGCCCCAAAGTGGGAGGAAATTGTGCTTTCAGGCTGATTCTCTAGTGTCAGATAAAATGTCCTTATAGTGGTTTTTTTTATATAGAATTGACACTAAAAGATTTTCTGCAGCATTACGATTTTAAGAGTCGTGCAGAGCCCTTTTTAAGTACTAGATTTTGTAGTAAAGGTCATAGGAACACATTTACCTGCAACTTTGAGCAACTTAAAGGCAAAAATAGTTTTTAACTTGAAAGCTTGCATCTTTCAGCTCTGGGATATCTTCAGTGCACCACAACTCTTAGATTCATTAAGCAGTCTAAATGCCATGAGTGGGCAGCAAGGAATATCACGAGATGTCATTTGATGAATGGCTTAAATGTCATGTCCTGTCCTCAGTTCATCTGTTATTCCCTTAACTCGGCCTTTGGTAGCCCTGTGTTGCTATTTTAGTTTTGTTATAAGTCTGTGATGCTTAAGCTATTAAAAATACCTCTGTGAAGACCAACACAGCATTAGAAAGAATTCTGCTGGTATCTTTGCAAGAATGGATGACTGGTGGCCCAGCATTAAAACCTAATTAAAAAGACTACATTGTGCAATTTCAGACTTTCCTGGCTGGTATTTATTTCAAGTAGAATCTGATAACACAGACTAGGTAAAATCTTGGTGGGGAAGCTGGCATAGTTTGACCAACAGAGCTGCATCTTGATGACTTTTCCCTCACTCATGATTAAAAATGTTGGTGATCTTGCTTTCTGCAGACATCCCATTCATGCCTGGTGTTTCAGTCAGTCTTGTGGCCAGAATATTCCTTTTGGAACTTGTGTGAGGCCATCCTTCGGTTCCAGATGAACTACAGTGCTTTACAGGTAAGGGAGCCTTAGGGAGACGGAAAGCTCTGCACAGCAGCGTGCTGGAGATCAGGTGAGTGTGCAAAGTGGGAACAGGAATTGGTTTAGTTAAGATCTTGTTTCAGCAGCAGCTAATGCCAGATGTGTTGCTTCTCCTGTAGCCATGTGGCTTGTTACAACATCTAAGCGTGCGGACAGACTCCTCTACTTTTGGCAATACCTAAAGTATCTGAAGTCACCACTATTACTCTCTTACTCATTGCTCATTCCACCTAGTTGGAAGTATCTGTCCCCGCTCCCCAGCTGACAGGACAGAACAAGTGAGCACTCCTGCTTTGCTACGGGGTAAAATCAGCCCGTTTAACTCAAACCACTTCATCGGTGGTTTAAGCAAAGACTGCTGAGTTCACTCTGGAATGAGCAAGGGAAATTTGAGTGCTCTTTCTCTAACTCCACTATTGTCTTTAGGGCTGTAACAAGTGGGTTTAGAGTTTCCTTTCTGGGAGCTGAAGTGAGGCTGCTTGAGCTGTGAGACTGTGGACAAGTGTCCTCTTTGTGGTGGGTCCAGATGTGCCTAACGAGGAGCTTGTTCCTACTGCTCGTTGTCACTGTTCCTCTCCTCTTACACTTGATGTGAGCTCTCCCTGACTTGGTTGAGATAAATCTGGCCAATTTAGTAGCAATTTAATAATCTGGCTATTTTTAAGCAAAACAAGTCTGGGAGCTCTTGATGTCTTGATGGGAAAATCTGGGGGACAGCAGCTTGTAGCACAGAGTAACTGGCAGGAGAAGGACCTTAGTGTGGTGCCTCTTACCTCCACCGTACCTGGTTGCTGAGTGCATCTATTGCTTAATTATTTGGGTCCTCAGCTGTTAAAGACAGTTATTTATTGCCCTCTTCTACCTTCAGGGACCTTGCTCACCTCTGAGAGTTGTCAAAAAGATTCTAGACAGTCATGATTATGGGTGAATTTAATCACGTCCCGTCGGTCTGGAAGCATCCAAGTTCTCCACGTCCTTAACCTCTTTGATTCCTATTTCTGCCCCAAGTCTGCTCTTTTCCTACCAGTATTAATGCAACTAATACAATTAATGGCAGTTCACCTTCTGCATGAAGAGGAAAGCCAGAAAGGCTGTAGTGTTTGTCACGGACATTAGCTTTGCCTCTGTCTTGAACAGTATTGAACAGTAAGGTCACTGTTCTGACATTGCTCCTAGTGCTAATTTCTAATGGGTAACAAATGCTGCTTCTGTCTCATCTCTTCCTAGTTCTTGTTTGTGGCTCTCTGTGTTCATGCTATGCTATTATCAAGGTTTCTTATCATCCACATTTGTTCTCTGGTCAGTTTTCTTGCTGTGAGACCCACTTTGCAGTACATAAGGCTGCCCTTTTTTCAAGGGGTGCAGCCCAGTTGGGCAGGAGGGAGTGCTTCTCAGAGGAACTGCTGAGATTTAGGAGCTGGGGTTTTTTGCATTTGAAATAGGTGATTTTTGAAAGACACAAGTATCTGGAGCTCTTGAAACTAATTACCTTGGTGGAGGGGTTGCTTGTCAGGGAGGATTATGATAGGGCTAGGGGTTGCCTTGCTGAGAAGCCAGAATCTATTACAGCAGCTGTGTCTCCTCAGTACACTGGAGGCAGTTATGGTGTGGATAGGAAGGTTGGGGGGAAAAAAAAAAAAAAAAAAAATTGATTTGGAGGTATTTGACAAAAGCTATCCTCCTTCCATCAACTCAAACAGCATCACATTTAATGGCTATCTTAATTTTTCCAGTTAGCCTGCTGCTCAGAGGAGTCTGCTAGCTGGTTGTTGCTCACCACTTAGTCCCAGGATCAGCTGTAACCTGCTTTTGGAAGTGGTAGACCTAGGAAGAGAATGTAGATGTTGGCTGGCAAGCCTGCAGACTCTTTTTCTAGTGAATAGACAGAATTTCACTTTGTTCAAGGGTGGAAGTCTTAGGCTGAATAGGCTGATGATCTTTGCATTTCAAATAAGCAGAGCTCCAGCAGTGGGGTGCTATCAATTCAGTGGGCTTTCTGTAGCTATGGATATTTCCACTCTCATTCCCAGCACAACAAAAGCTAATTTACAGTGCCAGAGCATAGACTACTGACTTGGGCACTGGGAAAGTGTGGTGACGAGTGAGTCAGGCTCTCATTAGAGTAATTACTTCTTGCTCATTTGAAAGGCCAGCACTCCCTAAGAGTGTGTATGTGTGTCAGGTTATGTCACAGTGACCAGTTTTGGTCTTTTTTTTTTTAAAAAAAAAAAAAAAAAAAAAAAAAAAGAAAGCTTCATATTCCTGCAGGCAGATGTGGTTTTGCTGCTGGAGGCTGCAGGCTAGGATATGTGTAATAAGATAACATCCAAAAGTGATGTTCTGCAAAAATATTTCAAATACTTGAAGGGTAGGCAAGGATATCTACAGCCTTTACCTTTCTCCTGCCTGTCCTGCTGTGTCTCGAGTCTGTACATTATTAGATCACAGGCATTTGGGAATGCTGAGCCCACTCATGCTTTTATGCTGAAGCTGATGAGCTCAATACCTGATCATCAGCTCAAAGAATTGCCCCATAAATCATTGTTCTGAATCCCCTAAAACCTTTCAGCTGCCGTGTGAATAGGATCAAAGATTGTGATGACACTGGCGAGGACAGCTCGTGTGTGTGTCTGGTTTAGAAGTCGTCTTGTGTGCTGTTCCTCTCTGATTCCAATATCTGAGGGTTTTTCCACAATCTCTCATGACCTTTATCTATTTTAACTAGGAGCTAATGCTGTGAGCAGACTTTTGTCTTGGGGAGAAGGTCCAGAAGGATATCCCTGTATTTTTTTTATATAACCAATCAAGCAGCTGCCTCAAAGCGGAGGAGGTGCACGCAGAGCCACCCTTCATTTAACCTGCAGACCGACGGCCAAGCAGAGGCTGTTTCTTCCATAACCTCTGTCGCCTTGTGTCTGCACCACAGGTGAGCTGGAAGGCCTGGTAAAGTGCTAACGCTCTCCTGCTTTTCACTCTAGAAGGCCAGAGACTCCTACATGGAGGAAAGGAGGCGACAACAGATGGAAAGGGATCAGGCTTATGTGACAAGGAAGCTGCAGCAGGAGGGCTTTGCGTCCCACGGAGACTCCTGGCGCCGACGGACACTGTTGCAGAAATGCACGGCCATGCGGGAAGAGAGAATCCAGGGCTTTCTACAGGCACTAGAGCACAAGAGAGCGGACTTCTTTGAAAGATTGTGTACGGTGTCTGCATGACATAGGTGCTGGGTTGTTCTTGGGAAGACAGTTAACGGTGTTAGAGGGAACAGCTGCTGCCCAGAGGAAATCACTCGGTGTGGTTCTGCGGGGGGGATGCAGGGTGGCTGTAGGACTTGATGACCCCTCTGGCCCTGTCTGAGGGCAGGGACAGAGTACTGTGAACCTTTCTAGTTCTGTGATTGCTGCTGGGGAAGGGAATGCCGTCCTTCTGTCTCGCCTCCCTGCCCCTGACGCTGCAGGATACATGCACCCTGCTATATCTCTGCTGCTTGGCACTTGACAGGCCTTGGGGTGTTTTGGTGACGTTAACTAAAAAGAGCCTCCAGTTCTCTTTGGCTTCTCATGAATTGGCCCAGGCGAACCACTTCAGCCCTGTTAAATCAGTGTGCACTTCAATTCCTTCCATGGCTGTGCAGGAGGGAATCTTCTGTTGAGATTTCCTCTGCCGTCCCAAAAGGGCAGCCTTGCTTTCTGTAGGGAGAGGATTATTCCTGGTGCAGAAGGGAGCCCTGTGCAAAGTGGTGGCAGAAATACTCCCCACTGCCTGCTTCATGAGAGCATCTTGGTTTTCTCTATCTTACTGTGCTGGTTTTGAGCTATCTGCTCTTGGCTTCCAAAGTTAAAGCGAGGTGTTGTCAGCCTTGCTCTAAAGAGAAAAAGATAGTCCAGAGCTTCACCAGGTCCTGCGATCCCTTCTGAGTGCTGTATGTGAGGAAAACCAAGATGCTGATGTTGGAACAGACTGACTGTGCTTAGGAAAGAGGCTCTGAGCAGGCAAGAAAACAGGATTGGTTGGGAATTAACTTAATGGCTTAAAAAGGAAAATAAGTTAGCTAAAATTGGGTGATGGATACAGTATGCCAAATTCCTCTGACCTCTCTAGAGCTGAGACTTTCAAGTCCTGCTTCCAGGGAGTGAGGATGGGCTTAGTTCAGGAATACAGCAGCGAAACCTGACCTCTGACCCCAGCCAAAATGAAGGGTTACCTAGATTGTGACAGGAGTGGCCGGAGCAGCTGGGGAGTGTTGTTTGTTCTCAGTGTTCCATCAGCAGGGAGGTGGACTAGCTAATTTCCAAGATTATTTCCGTCTCTAATTTCTCCTGGTTTCCGTCCCCGTGGTCAAAATAACTGAAATGTCTTGCTTTTTGTTTCTGATGCACATATAGGTGCAGCAGTACCAGCTGTTGCTGGTTTTAAAGTGTTCCTTTTTATCTCCAGGTGAAAACTAGAAAAATGCAGATATAAGAGACTTGTAAGTGCTGCAGACTCAGCACTCTGAATGTGATTGTGAAGAGGATAACTACATTGTCAAATCGTCAATAAAGCATATTCATACCAAACTTATTTAAAAAATAAGCTGAACATTTAAAAGGACGCAGAGCTGCTTATTCTGAGGTGTTGATGAAGCTGGCATCCAGGTTTAATATAATACTGTTTAACCTGTGACAGACTCGATATTTGATTCCTGTTAGACTGAAAACAATTTGAAGGCTGTGTTCTTTTTACAGTCTAGTGTGAGCAATTTGCCGATACCCCAAGGCTTGGCCGAAGGAAGCTCCGTGCGCATACCTCCTCTTGCGTAAGTAGCAGACAGTACCTCGGATAAAAGTGTGCTGAGATAATGGGAGCTGTCAATTTTAAACTTCTTTTGCTGCATTTTATTTTCTCTGTCTTCACATTACAGGAAGCTGTGTGTGGAAATAGTTTACTCTCCATGAGATGGAGCACTCTCCAGTCAGCTTTGCCGTGCTGATGGGGAGACTCTTCTACCTGAGAATGTACTTTTGCCTGAAAAGAAAAAACACCACATTTTTTTAGTTGTGTTGTGGATGATACAGGTGACCAAAACTACAGTGGTGGTTTTTGACAGGGTATTGTTGCAGGTGTGGTAATTGAAGGATCTGGTTTACAAAAGGCTTGTAGGGGAAGTTTTAATCCCTTTCATAAAAGCCATTGCTGTAGTAAAGGAGGAGAAAAACTTCTTCAAGGATTTCAGAAAGGTTTGTGTTACCAGTTTTATTCCTCCTGCATCAGTTATTCTGGTAAAATCCAGCTTTCCCTGTAAGCCTTGCTCTGTTAGAGGCTGGGGATAAGTTACGCAGGTGAACTCTGAGCTTTGGGAGTGAATCTTTGTGAAGTAGAGTGACAGGCTGCTTCAGAGAGAATTTCACTTCCCCAATTCATTTTTATATGGTGAAGATGTGGAAAAATCAGCACGACTGGAAAAATGCACTGCTTTTACAACTGAGAAAAAGCTGAGATTACCTGGAGTGGGAAGGGGGAAAAGTGTGCTCCTTAGAGTGCTTGGTTTGTTGTGTTTGGATTTATTTATTTTTCTTTCCTGGATGAAGTTCGATTAGAAGGTTAAAAGTTGGGGACACAGCGAAGCATAGATTTTTTGGCACTGAGTTTGTAGCCAAGGGGCTACAAAGAGAAGCGGCCCTTTCTAGAGGAGTCCCAACTTCACAAGTCACTGAGCGCAAGGATGGGCACCTGTGGGAATCGTTTTAATGTCATTTTCTTGCATTTTGATTTTTTTTTGTTGTTGTTGTTTTATTTTAGCACTGCCTTGCCCTCTCCCTTACTTTGGGTATAACTCTTCCCCCCCCCCCCCCCC